GAAGACTCAGTATATCAGCCTGAAATAGCCAATAGATGCCTATTCCTCTGTGTATACTTAATTGTGCTGCAACTGCCAAAAAAAGCCAATGCAATCCTAGGCTGTATTAACAGAGGGATATGTTGTGTTCTTTGTATTCCCCCCCCCTTAATCCCCTATGCATATCCTGATCACCCATTAAGGGTGATTGCCCTTCACCGTTGATCGCCCATTAAGGGTGATTGCCCTTCACCATTGATCGCCCATTAAGGGTGATTGCCCTTCTCCATCTGCATACAGTTTCATGCCCGTTGCTGGTTGGCTAACTAGCAACAGGGTCTTGCCAGCCAATGGAATTGTGTGATTACAAGCCAGGGGAATCCCATAAAAGAGGGCTCCCCTGGCCCAGAGAGGCACCCAGAAGCTCATCATAGTCTGTTGTGCTTCTGCCTAGTTTCTTGACACTTGAGATGCAACCTCCTCAGATTGTGTTACTAGATCTTTCAAGAGCACATGGTCAGGCTCAGCAACAGGAGATCTCAGAAAAGGTCATAATTTACAGTCTGGTTCTCATGTAGCTGTGGTTCAATATTTCATGTTCAGACAGCCCAGGAATATTGGCGCTTTCTTGACCAAAAATCCAATCAACCAAACTGTTCAGTTCATTTCCTTTTTTCCTTTCTCCTATGGAGCTCTGTAGGAGACAAGTATTATGAGGCTTCTGAACATAGGAAAGAACTATCTGCTTTGGGATTGTTCTGTCACTGAAAAATAGGACAGACAGTATAAATAAAATTAAGATTACATTGGAAATAGCACTTGTCTTCACCATGGTGGTGCATTCGAGAGGTGCTCCGCTACAAGTTTCAGAATATCTGTGGTTTAGGAAGGCTGCTATACAGCCTTGGTTGAATTCTTCTTTCTCAGAGGATGATTGCAAAATACACTTCTGGGGATGTTCAACCGGCACTAAGCAAGATTCATTTTCTCTTTTGTTCACATCTACACTTATCTCTTCTGCAGTTTTTGAAAGAATATGTCTTTAGTGTTACCACCTTTGTCTGTTTTTTTACACACCTGAAGCTTCATTAAATAGAAACTAGATTGGGAACATTCATGGCGCTCCTGATTTTTAGGATTGCAGTTAGTTAGAATGAAGACAGTAAGAGGCAGGCTTGTTTTGGATTTTAAGTGCTGAATTTGGAACTGCAAACAAAGAGAAGGAAATCTGATAAAGTCTTTGGAGATAACTCTGGGAAACAATCAAGCATTACAAAGCACATTTGTATTGTTAATCGACTATAATCCTTCCAACAATTATGCCCCCCCCCCCCGTATATCAAACAGCAAGAGGTATGTATTTGCACCATGCTCTATTCCTCCAACAGAAACCCTGTCAGACACAGCTCTCTCCAGCAGGGGGCAGTGTGAAACCTTGTGCAGATGCTTCATTCCACTTGTGTGCAACACATACCTTCCTTTCACATCTGAAGCTGTGCACAGTTACACACTTGCACCTGCCTGCACAATTGTGCAGCATCCATGTGTTTGCACACCCACCCACCCAGAGCAACGGGAGCCCTTTGTCCTGGTGCTATCAGGTTTCATGGAGATTGACTGACAAGCTTCATTTTTGTGGAGAGGCAAAACACAGGCTGGCTTCCGCTGTTTTCAGATGGCAGGTTCAAGGAGAATTAAAAAGTAAATGGGATTTCAGAAGAAGAAAAGAGAGGTGGGGCTGGGATTTAGGATTCCTGACTGAAAAGTGAACAAGGACCATATCTGAGTGAGGGAGAAGTGGAAGAGTAACCACATTCTCTCTCTCCCCTCCCCTCCACAACTATGCATATCTGGGGGGGGGGGTTACAGGTGCTGGCATGGTTTGAAGAGGGTGAAGAAACTGTCACCGCTTTTGTGGAACCATTTGTCATCCTATTGATCCTGATTGCCAATGCCATTGTTGGAGTATGGCAGGTAAACAAACTAATCATGTTTTGTTTCATTATGGTTTGGGGGATGTAGGTCTGTGAGGGTAATCCAGATTCCAAAGGACAAGGTGATTTGAAGCATGTATCTGTCAGCTGTTTTTAAATAAAATGCCTCTTTTCCTGGAATTGCACAGGAAAAAAGCCAGGAAACCACAAGCCCAGGAAAAGGCATCTCTTCTGTTGCAAGACACTAATGGGTAAAATAGAAGTGCTCCATACGTCTCAAATCCCCTTTGCCCCTTCAAATCCAGATCCCTAGGGCTAATTCAGGTGTTGTACTGGCATCAGGAGAATCTAGTCCTCCCCTCAACTACAGTAGCTACCTATGCACTTTAGACCAATTCTCTAGTTAACTAACGCATCTCAGGAAGTTGTTTTGTGGGAAAAATTAGGAGGGAGCCCTGTACGTGGGTCTTTGGACTCATGAATGAAAGGTGGTAGATAAACCCAATAAATAAACAAGCAAACCATGCTTTAAAGCAGTATTTTTCAAACTTGGCAACTTTATGATGTGTGGACTTCAACTCACAGGGACTTGAAATCCACACATGGTAAAGTTGCCAGCTTTGAAGCATAATGGGTAAGTTCACAAACCACTCCCAGCCCGAGCCAAGCAAATCACATTGTGGTTTAGTGTAACGTGTGAAGCCCTCTTTAGTATGCAAAGTTCCCTCTATGATGCTCTAAACGCACTACAATGTGGCTTACTACATTTTGTTCTTCAGATGTACCTTATGAATGTTACCATTACTGATGGTTACTGTTAGGAGATTGCTGCACTGCAACCTAGTCAACCTCTGAGAGCATTAAAGTGCTTTCAGCAAATTGCAGGGGGGTCAAAATTTCAAGACTTAATGGAATAGGAGTTTAGTTCCTTACTCCGTGCCTGGGTCACACCTGTTTCTGCTGGCTTTTTTGCATTGGGGGAATGGAATGGAATAGAATGGTGCTTCCCTCTGCTGGGGGCCAAGCTGTAATTGAAAGCAACAATAGGGCATCTTAATTCTGAGTGCGGGCCCTTCTCCTTGCAGGAACGAAATGCCGAGAATGCCATTGAGGCCCTAAAGGAGTATGAACCTGAAATGGGCAAGGTCTATCGATCTGACAGGAAGGCGGTACAGAGAATAAAGGCCAAAGACATGGTCCCTGGAGACATTGCAGAGGTGGCAGGTAAGTGTCAGGCTGGGAGCGTGTGGAAGCATTAAAGGTCATGGGGATTCCCCAGGGCAAAGAAGACTAAACATAGAGTGAGTACTAGAGTCAGTTTGGATACCACAAGTTCTCTTCCATAATCTTTAAATCCCTAAGTAGCTCAAGCTCCCAACTGAAGCTATTAGATATGAGGCCACCGAAGATGCCAGATACCATTAGCAGTGACATTCAAAATGCTTAGATATTTCTGGAGCGACGGCTCTAGAAGACAGTATTCTCCTTTCACTGTGATGCCTACTTCTTGATAGAGTAGGGCCAAGGTCAATTAAGTTGAAGGGATATCCCAGCATTCTCTACTTTTTCTTTTCTAGAGGATATATATTCTCCATAAAAGGATAGTATGATTCTCTAGTAACAATCATCAACAGCTATACCCCTCTCTAAAGAGCAGTTGCCAAGATTCTTGTCTCCAATCTCCACCTGAGGATTTAAAAATGCTTTTGGGTTTGTTAAGCTGAAGCAATTGTCGACACTGACACAGCATTCCTGTATTACATTGATTGCACAGGCAATCAACTTGAACAGTGTTGGACCAAAGTCTGAATAGTGATAAAGAAGCATTATTTTGTTAAACAATTGAGTTGCAAAGATATTTAGCATCGAGCAGGGATCAACCCATTCTTAGATAAGCAGGGGAACTATAGTTGGAATATGTGGCAAAGAAGACATTATTCTCTGTGAGCTGAAAGAAATAAAGGTCATTCCCACTTGCACCTAACCAGGACACAAAATACCCTGATGATGTGGTCGTCATTTTGTTCCCAATGCACAAAGAAGGCCGGTTTAAACAATCCTTAGTATACTGGCATTGAAGTAGCATTTAACTCTTATTCCAATGCTATTCAAAATTAGCTTCTAGGTATGTCAAATTTGTCTGGTTTTGTTATCTCTGGAAGGAAATAAGGTGACCGCAGTGGTTTGAAACAGAGGCAATTTATGCAGATTGAGGATTGGCAGGATTGAGCAGCAATTTTGTGCTGATTTATTTCTGCAGTTAAGGATGGTAGAGAGAGTTTAACTTGGTCCTAGGAAAACACCCTCAGTGAAGGCAAGAATGCTTCTATTACAGGAGAAAAGGTTAAATTGAGGTATAATTCTCTCATGGAAATTTCAGAATTTATCAAATTAATTGAGTGAATATGAACCAAGAATGAATTAAAGCAGGGGTTCCCAGCCGGGGGTGCTCGCACCCCATGAGTGTGTGAGACGATATTCCAGGGGGTGTGAAAACTTGGGTTTTCAAAATTATAGTGTATATGCATAATTCGTTGCCATTACTTCGAACTTTTGTAAGGGGTGCAAGAATATATCAGAAGCGTTCTAGGGGTGCGGGGTATAGAAAAGATTGGGAACTGCTGAATTAAAGGAAGGAAGTGACCTTGTTTTGAATTTCTAGTATGTGAAAAAGAAACGTTCTGACAATGTCTATTTCTAAATACTTCTTGTTAGAAATTGGATTAATGACTACCCACTCTAGATTTTTTCACTCTGTGACAATATATTGCTGCAAAACTCATTTAAAGCCAGTGTTTTCTCTACACACTTAGAAGTCTGCTTTTGCCAGCCTCTCCTTCCAGTGACATTTTGTGCAAGGCCGAGAATCCCAATCCAGATGTGGCACCTACCTCTACCCATTTTGTGTGCCACTCCAGGAGGCACCCTGTTGGGTCACACTGTAGCAGCTATTTCCCACAAGTCAGGAGAAGAGTGGCTATTTTCGTTTGGGTTAGATAGTGTGTTCCTTCAGCCTCAAATCCACAGGAAGTTCTGGAGATGCTGCTTCAGCAAAATCTGAACAAGACTGCTCCATCATGGGGCTTGTTTACTCCTTGGGCTTGCCCTGTCTTGACCCTGGAATAGAGGCGAGAGGGATGTTTTGGGAACAGACAGTCCCCATGGAGAGTGCGGGCTGGAGGTGGAGCAGTGAAAGCAGAGCCCTGAGGAATCCCCTTCAGCTGCACTTACTGGATAACAGCTGCCCTCAGAGCTGGGCCAGCAGCCAGATCATTCCCTCCTTCTTTCTAATTTAATTTAATTCAGAGATCATTTACTCTCGGGGCCAGTTGCATAAGTGTTTCCAAAATATAAAGGGCATCCATCCATCCATCCATCCATCCATCCATCCATCCATCCATCCATCCATGTGATGGAGCAGTCTCTCTCACGAGATCTTGTAGCTTCTTTCTTGCTTTCCTTTTTGTCACACATTCACACAAAGGAGATCAGAGTGGTTACTTCTGGGTGCCTGGAAAAGAGAAACACTGCATTGCCAAAAAAGAAAAAAGAAAAAAAAAGAAAAAAGAACAGACTTTACATAAAATTCATTGTCCCACTTATGTGTAGCAAATAGGATAAAGTGTGAGGGGAAAATGTTTTTGCTCTTTTGAGTCTATACATTTAAGTGTAAATTTTGAAAGGATTTGTTAATTTGTTAATTTAAGCAGAACGCAAGACATCTTATCATTGCAACTGAACAGGCAATATGCTGGCTGCTAACAGTTGGTAGGCCATTACAAGCCCCTCTTTCTCATTTTTGAAACTAAAGCCCTTCTATTTGGACCATTCCCTTTAAAACAGGACCACTTCCCCCCCTCTGCCCCCCCGCCAGTCCTATCCCACCCCAATTTGTCCTGGAGAGTTAAAAATCCAACGGAAAATTAAAACTCCAGCTCCAGCTCAAATAGCAATGAAATAATGTATATGTGCATGTGGATGCACAAAATATTTTGTCATCGAACTCAACTTCCAAAAACCTAGAGGTAAATGTTTCCCTCTGCAGAGAATCTCTCAATCTCTCATTCTTTTTAATACTGAAAGCCCGATTCCTTGGTCATGCTACTTTGTGTTGATCCTCACATTCTTAAAAACGTGCTCATTAAAAAAAAATCCTAATATATGTTTTGATCAATAAATCTCTGTGTGAGGTGATTTGGTGGCATTGTCAAGAACACAACCAAAGATTCATCTTGCCTAACACCCTAGCTCTACCAGCTATCACTCAGCGATCCCAGGGAATCTCACAAGCAGGGTTTGAAGGTGACAAGATTTCCCTCTTTTGATTTCTCATGCTAATTACTCAAAAAGAGAAACTTTCTATACATAGATGCCCCGTTCTTAATTAGGACACTGAATAGCTCTTGTCTGGCCCAACTGACATTCATGATTTTATCACCTCCTTTCATGTGTCTCGGTGACCAAATGCCAAGGAAGGACCCAATGTTCTTGTGTCTTCAAGAATTGCATAAGGAGGGGATTCATTTCCCCTAATTTCTTCTTAAATGTAGCCAGTCACTTGTGTATTTGGCCTCTGCGAACTGGCCTCACAATATATATGTTAGGAGGGAATTCAGGAGTTGGTAATATATATGTATAACCAGAGAGAAAAAGAGAGTGTGTTAAAGTCAAAATCCTTGTATGTCTGCAGGGAAGAATTTAACAAAGAAATAATTCTGAGGAGCCTTAGCAGCTCATCGACTGAATAGTTTATGCTCTTTTTTTTTTTTAAACGTTGATGGCCAAGCAATTTTAGCATCACTTCTGGGGATGTAGGTAGTTGTTGCCACCTTTCTCCTAGTCTGGCCTGGCCTTGAGTTCCCCTCCCTGCCTAGGGAAGCCGTGACCTCTCCATCTCCTTGAAGAAGAGAAGGCAATGGAGCAATGGATAGTGCCCAGCAACCAGCTTTGCCTTGTATGGACACTGTCAGGCAGCTGGTGATGCTTCAGGAATGTGATGAGGCAGGCAAGGAGAGAGAGAGAGAGAGAGAGAGAGAGAGGGAGGGAGGGAGGGAGGGAGAGAGAGACACTTAATGCGCTGGTGGAAAAGCGAGCTGGGGTGCATGGGGACATCTAGGGTTACCGTGCCTTGTCAGATGAAAGGAGGACAGGCAAAGGAGAAACCCACACTGGGATGCTGCCTCTGGCTATCTTAGAAGCAGAACAAAAAAAAACCTCCACCCCATCTGCATCCTACATTCTTCAATCCTGACATATCCCAAGCATCTCCTTGATGATCGCCCACTTCTGAGGAAAACAGGGAAAATACAGCTTTCCCCTGCATTCCTGAGCAATATTTCTTTGTGTAAGCTCCATATACAATAGCTTATGAACACTGTATCTGGCAACTGAGCAGAGTCTCATATATGGTTTTAGTATGGCATAGGTTTGTGTTTGTTAAATAGCGTTGCTGAGAAGGATTTGGGGGGAGAATAGTGAGGTGAGAGACTGAAGAAGCCCTCCTGGGCTAACTGTGGGCAAATGACTTGATTTAAAAAAAAGAAAACCAGGGAACATTTTAAGGGGAATGGGGTCAAGGGAACAGGAGAATCCTGAGCTGAGAGAAATTGGATTTTCCTCAACAGAGCAATTTTGTCACTACAGGAATTAAACCTCAGAAATCATATTTAAATGCTAAATGAGAGAGATTTACACAAATGCAGATGAAAATTTTCACTCTTCCAATTCCAATTGCTCCAAATGATTGCATGTGGCTTCTGCCACTTACATTGTACTTCAAACATGTTTCCTAAAAAAATAAGATTTTCTGCAATGTAACGATATCACAATAAATAAGCCAATGATGTTTTTTTAATGCTCATCTATCTCTACTCAATAAATGGAGATAAGAAGCCAAATCTGATATTAAAAATACCAGCAAAAGCTGATCAATGATCTGAATATAATTGTAACTATGTCTAGCAATATAATTTTGAAATTTAACTAATGGAGTTGCCTGCTGAATTAATAAAAATATTTCTTAGGAAAAGCAGATCCAACAGAAAAGGTCCAAACCGCAAGGAAAATGTTCTTAAAACTGTATAATACAATTGTCATGTGTCTGATTAATGAAACGCTTCAAAGAACTTTCAGGCATGGTGTAACCTAAAAAAGCCTTTATTAGTGTAGAGACGTGTCAGCACGGCATGATGGATGCCAAGATCTGAATTTCCCTTCCCTTTGCA